CCTAATATGAGCAGGTACTTATCCTATTTTAGAAGTGTGGAAACCCAGAGAGTTTATCTTCTTGGCACAGAACTGACCCAGGCTACTGCAAACCATGTGAAACCTCTCTTCTGCAAACCTCTGTGTCAATGGCCCCATGGACTAGCACACAACCCATATAATTCCCATGGTGTTGCGTTATGCTGGTTCACTGCGATGTCTCATGGTTTTTAGCATGCATGAATACAGCTCCAAGAACTCGCTTGCAGGGTGCACAAGCTCTTTGTCATCTAGCACAGACCTGCTGTGTCTGGCAGTAACATGGGAACAATACTTTATATGATAATTTCCAAATAGCATTCCTCATTATAAATGCAGAGCTCTTTTGAGGGCAAAACAAAACATTTGACACCAAGAATTCTTACTGACAACGTCCTTAAGGAACTCAGTCTCAAAAAACACAGTGATTCTCTGCCTTTTCATTCCTGTCTGCTCAACATTTAGAAAAAGACATTCTGGACACATTTCTTCAGGTTACGGGTCTCAGTGATGTCTCAAGGCAGCTTTACCAAAGCTCAGCTATGTTCTGACGTGCTGGCAGCCAGGAAGAACAACCTTCAGGCATCACCTTTGTTCAAGTCTAACAAACGGTGCTGGCAAAGTGGGGTTCAAGTGCTGAGCTGGCTGACATGACTTCTAGTGCAGAGGCCAGGTGGAACTGTGGGACACCACAAGAAGACTAATTAACAGCACCTTGGCTTAACTAGCTCATGTTTTCACAGCAAAATGCGGAGTCTGCCAGCCTTGGCTGGCACCAAACCCAGATTCAAGCCTGCACCTTCAGCTGTCCCTGTTAGCCAGTACTTGAACTTTCTGAATAGTCATCTTGTGAAGAAAAGCAGTTTCTGGCCAGGCTGGTTCTAGTTCCAGTGTCAGCTCTGCGGTGAAAATATCTCTACAGAAAATGAAGCAATTTACCAAAAGCCAAAGAAGGAGTCATTAATAAAACAGGCAACAATTTCTTGCTTCTAGACCTATGCTCCATCTTTTAGACAGACTGTACTGTAAGCAAAGTATTTATTCTACCCTTCCCTTGCCATTATTGACCATAAAATAGCAATTACAAGACAGTTCCTCTCTGATCATAAATATACTTTTGGATCACTCCTGAGAACACAGCAACTCCAAAAGTGACTACTACTCCTAACTATGTAAAGTACCACGCAAGACTTTAGGCTTTTTTCCAGGGGTCCTCCCAGGCTCTAGTCATAAGTTCCTGTGATAAAGTACCATCTACAGCTGTATTTTAGTCTAATTTTTGCTCAGAAAATGGAATTCTGGCAGAAGGCTGAGCTATGTCTGCACTGTATGAACGAACAGCAAAGAAAGATTCACCAGGGAAACAAGTCCAAGCCTGACTGGACAAGGACGGAAAGGCTCATGCATTTCAGGTTGCAGTTGCAGAGGAACCCTCTACAGAAAAATCAACAAGGAAGCTGGAGTCCTAAATTAATTCACAACCCAGTCCCCAAGCGTTCTTGGGAATGATGGCAAAAATTTATAGCGGCTGCTCCGGCAAACTAACAGGACTGTCGGTCATGCTTGTAAAATGATCCAAGCTAAGGCCCGCATGAAAAATCTAGCTGCATTTTTAAAAGGAAGTGCTGGTCATTCAAGATTTCAGCTGTAGGCATTCTGCTCATCTAGATTTACATTTTACTTCAGGGCCTTCAGCTTTCAGAGATGCTGCAGCAACATACTGCACATTTCAGGAGCAGCTGGGAAACCTGGACCGATGACCATGTTGTTAACAAAGGAAGCCAGGCGTTACAAGAGCCAGCAGTGAGGGCTGGATTCTCAAAACTGAGCTGCAGTAAGCAGGAAGGCAGGAAGCACAAATGGAAAAGAATTAAAACAGGATTCAACTTGCCTAAATTTAGAGGAAGCTAGGCTCATAGGGAATGCACTCCTTCCAGGAATACACAACCACTTTAACTGCAATTGCCTTACGGGAAGGAGGGAAAGCAGATAGTTCTACCAGCCCTGTTCCTCCCACAGCTCCAGCCGTGTTATTACAACTGAACATGCCTAGAAACCATCTCTATTTGCTATTCCCTTCCCCTCAAGGACAGGAACCAGCTGGCCTTCACTCATACTTCTGCTTCATCTGCAGTACAAAACCATTTCTCACCTGTACCACATACATGTTGGAAGAGAAATATGGTGGGGTGGAAACATCACTTAGTGTGACCTCCCACCAAGGAGAGGCTGAAGGAGATTCCTTGCAGACAGACCTGACTGGAAACTACAAGCTGCTAGAAGCAACTATATGATAGAAGCTAGAAACTGCTAGAAAGAACTTCCATGTCAAGAGGTTAAAGTCATATTTAACTTCATTTCAGACAAATCTGAAAAAAATAATGGTGTAATTAAATACAAGGGAGAGGTGGGGGAAGGGAAGTCGTCTGGGCACAGCCCTCATTCTGCCTACTACAGGATCGGAAAGCACCAGCCAAACCACCCTGGGGGGACTGGAAGCAGGGGGATAACACTGCAAAAGTTTTTTAACTCACCTCGTGAGAGTTGGTTCCATGGGCCACTCTGGTTTTACAAACTGGGTAGATAAAAAAGAAAAAAATGCACCACTGAAACAGTGCACACAAAACCCTTATAAATCCATTCCCACCCACACGTGCAAACACTGGAGTTCACCAGACCAAGGCACTGACTGTACCAGATGCTAGTGACAGTCTCTGCTTGAACCGTGTCCTCAATCACTGGGAGCAAGCCAAGCTTGTTCCCAGCTCTACCCTCTCAACTCCTCCCTGTAACTAAGGTCTAAGCAGAGGTCATTATTAGGACTGGTCAGAGGTGCAAAGCATCAGCTAAGAAGTTAGTACCAGTATTGCCATCCTGCCTACTCAGAGGGCATCTTCACAGGTATGTGATTTTGCCTGAGGCTGGAGCTACTTTACAGGTAACACAAAACACCACTGTTCTGAAAACAAGGGAGCTGGGACACAGTGGAAAACAACTTCTTTTCCTACTTCCCTGTTTCTGGGGAATAGCAGGAAACCAAATGGGCTGAATCAAACTAAGATACAACATATTTTTCGCAGGCAACCATACAGGGTGACAAAAACAGTAGAAAGAGCCCAGCAGTTCTTCTTTCTCCTCCATATTCCTTATCTGCTCTGTATATCTTGGTTCTCACCTCCATCCTAAAACCAGTAAGAGGAAAGAAACAACATGCTCCTGCTATTATGAAACCAGAGAAGAGCTGAAGACCCTGGGACCCACACAACGACTAGAGCTGACGTTATTTTTATGTTATGCAGAGGAGATGAAAACTTGCAAGTAGTGAGGGGGTGGATACGATAAGACTTCTTTGGGGGTTGTTGGAAGAATCAAATTGCCAGGCAAGAGGACAGGCAGCTATGAAAGGCAGATGACCTGCACTAGAGTCGAAAATAAGTTGGTAACTTGGAATTTTGGAAAGTGGTATATGATGTCTCACAGACACATGCTCTGGAGAGCAGGAGTGTTTTAAAAAAAAAAAAAAAGAGAGAGAGAGAAGACAGAAAAAGCACTCCCACAATACCATGTTATATTGATTTTCAATGTTATTTTTTAATTTCATCTTCATTTAGAGGGGTTGATTCAGGCCTTCTGAATATATGGGCTATGCTGCTGACTACTGAGCACTAGCCAGCCTGTATAGAGAAGACAATGTGCACGGGTGAGGATGGGGGGGTCAAAGCCATTCAGTGGCCTTTAAATTACTGCTTCACAATCTAGCTTCAGGAGACCTGCCTCATTTGGGAGAGCGATGGCAGGGAGGGCAAAACATGCTTTTTCCACATGACTTTACCTCTGAACCTTACAAATGAGGCAAGCACCAAGGGAACAAACACCGACTAACCAATTCTGCTCACTTTACACTGCAAGGAATCAAATAAAGGAATGAATGAAGGCACAAGCCCCCCAGCAAAACTTGCTACAAAGCACAAACAGTTCATAGCAGCTGTTTGAGGCTGTGGGCCCTTGGAGTCTGCTATCTATGGTAATCGTTAAACTCTTTCTTCTGCCCTCTAAGAACATATTTGTAGCCTGGACCAGGGAAAGGGAGGGGTGGGTGAAAAAAGGGGGCAGTGAGCAAGGCAGTGATTTTCTCAAGAAAAATAATGAATGCAGCTGGCAGGAGAAACTTCTTGCACAAGTTCAGGGCAAGAGGCTAACTTTGTGAGAACTATTAGCATTTCCCAGGAATGCATGTTTACTGTAGAGAGGTGTTTAAAGTAAGGAACATCAATAAAAGGCAAAGTAAAAGCTGATAGGGAGGGGTTTTGTTCACATTCCAAGCAGACTGCTTCAGAGCATTTGTTTCAGGAAGGTTTTAACATCCCTGACACTTTGGCAATGAAACCCACACTCCTACAGGGTTGGCTACATCTTGGGGGGTGCATGTGCAATATTCAGAACCTACTAGAAGCACCAAGGAAAAGCCCATGTACATACTGAATGGGAATGCCAGTCCATTCTTCTCTATAAGCTGCAAGGTGTCTTCTCCACAGGCACTTGTCAGCTCCATAAAGGGTGGTGAACAGATCCTCTCATCTGCAAGACAAAAAAAAGACTCAAATGGAGATGAGGGGTTTAGCTTCTCAGCTGCATCATTACCAGCTCTCTCCATACTAACTGCTTCTTGATAGTTGGCTTTATTTTAACCGTTGATATTAAAGCACTGGAAAGATTATCAGCCAGGCCTGAATTTGGGTTTCTGGAAACAGTTCAGAAGATGAAAGGCCCAATTTTCAGATAAACTAAAATATAATATAATATAAATATAAAGCCCATATTTTCACAGTTAGGCAGCAAAACCAATCACCTGCTTAGGAATATGTAGCTGCACAAGACTTAGCCAGTGAGGTGAAAAGCAATTGGGACCTTAGCTCTTAACATTATGCCTTCAAGCATAATTTTCTAAAGCATTTTACAAAAACCTGAATGGTCAGCAAGTGTGGCTGGAGCAGGCAGTCTCACAAAGCCATCATTACTGCAGGGCCCCCCAGGTGGCAGACTCCAGTGTGGATTTACTTCAGCCAAGGTGCCAGCCACGTAATACATCCCACTGTCCATTGGGACCTCTCTGCCATGAAAGCAGTGCTCATTTGGTCTGGCAAAGCTAGTCAGAGCACCGCTGAAACACTGAGACACCTTGGCAAGACTGCTCAGTGGACTTTGGTTAAAGATAAAAAACATGGGAAACCATGGTAAAATTTAACAGAGTAGGTCTGCTCCAGGATGTTTCTGCTCATGTTGTGCTTGTTCATATGGGGTTGTGGGAAGGCTGGAGACAAAACCCAGCCCTCTTAGTGACTCAGTAGGTTGAACTGCTCTAGGATTCACGTCCCGTTCGCTGTAGGAGAACTTTGATTCTTCCAGAAATGCAGCAGGAAAGGGGGAAAGCACTGTAGGACTCTAAGTACTTGAGCATAAATCTCCACCGCTCAAGAGGGCTGGGTTGCAACTTCAAGTGCAAAGAGAACCTTGGCTTCAGCCACGGCTCTGGGACAGGTCAGCGGGCCCAAAGACTTTCAGACAAAAGTTGTGCACACATTGACACAGTCAAAGCAAGAACATCACCCAAGTAAGAGCAACGATCCAACTTAACTCCTCGGTGAGCGCAGTCTTAAAAGTATTGCCTCCATGGAATTTTAGCTACGGCCAGGTTGACACTGGAGTCATAAATGAGTTATAACTCGAGCTAGCTGCGCAGTACTGAACTGCAATTCAGAATAGGTCTGCCAAAACTCACTTCTAAGACTTATTTAGAGAGAAACAGTGTGACACCTTCCTCCAAGAAGCAACTGGAGACCAGCACAAACAATGGGAGCAACTCTATCTGGAAAACTCAAGCCACGGGTTTATATCAACCAGCAACTTGTGCTGAAAATGAGCAAAATATGACTGTTATTACCATCTACATCTATCCCAGTGAGCACAGAGAATCCAAACAGGTGGAGACTATGCTGTGCAGATGGTGCAGAAACGGAAAAGTGCATGTAAACGAAACCCCCAACAGAACTAACTAGATACTCTGTGTGCGCCATGCATCCAGAAACCACTTTATAAGCATTGTTTAGATTAATGCTTTTTCCCTCACACAGAGGAGAAAATTGAATCACTGAAAATAACAGAGAGGCAAAACTCTGTATTTTGATATACATATCTCAATACATGCTTCAGCGCTCTGAGAATATCTGAGAACTCCGGCAATTAGCAATACTGTTGCTACAAGAAGTTTTCTGCGAAAAGAAAAGGCTATTTTCATACATCCTAAAAGGAGTAGAAAGATTGATGTTTTGAGGTCAACCTCTACAGAGCTAACCAAAACATCCCAGACTTCAAAGCTTTCAGTTTGCTGCTATGAAAACAGAAAGCGGCATCCAAAAGTGACAGGTACTGTAATATTTACAAGTCTTTGCCAGAGCAAAAGTTCCTTAGTTGGATGAATTTAAGGAATCAGATTTAGTTTACAGATACTTGGGAAGAACTTTGGCTTGGCAGCTCTCCCACCCATAAGGCTCAGGAATAACTTTGCCTTCAGAGTGCAGATGCAGAGGGACGTATGGTTCCATCTCACTTCCCTCTATTTCTCTCCCATGCAAACAGGAACGGGAGACAGGAAGGATTCAGCGTTCCTGCCGATTACATGACACTTGCATGTGGAGATGAAGGAAGGAGCAAACAGTAATTTCTTTGACTTTGTACTTAGAAAAGACCACCTGGATCAACAAAAGTCCCAGAGAACACTCTTAGCATCTCAAAGTGCTCCTGCTGACTTTGCACAGCACTGGCATTTTCTCCACCACAAAGGCAATTCTAGCCCACTGAAGCCTCTAAACCAGACCATTAATTCACAGCCAGACCTGAGGACAAACAAACCCTCAATCAACACAAGATTTCAGTACGGCCTACAGCTAGAAAGCTGCTGCTCGGAGTATAAGTGCACACACTGCAATTCTGAAGGTAGCTGTTTAAAAAAAAGTCCCCCAGCTGCCAGTGATGATCCTCTCCTCCTTCCCAGGGTGGCAAACACATGCTGAAGCATTCTCTCATCACCAAGCTCCTGCTATCAGAATGACAGCAGTCTCAGCACATCTCCTCTGCACTGAGGTCCAGGACGGACCTAATTCAATAGCGGAGGGTCAATCTCAATACTGTTTTACATCAGCATGGAAGTACACCATACAATCCACGAAGTGCAAATGAACACCCAGTGGTACATTGAACCCTCCCCTCTCCTCCTGCCAAGGTAAGCTGCGTTAGCAGGCTCTGAGTTGTAGTCAGGCGCTGGACCCACTGCTTCTTTGCAAACCAGTAATGACCAGTCACCATAGGAAACCAGTGCCAAAAAGGACAACAATAAATATACAGACAAATAAACATAGCAGTCTAGAGACAAGAATGGGCAACATGAGTCTGGCCCCACTGCTGACCCAAGGGTATTGACACTACAGCCTAACCCTCCTCCAGTCTAAAACCAAGCAATATTCTCATTTCTATCAGAGAGCCCTAGTGAGGATGAAGCACTTCTATAAAAGCAGTCTGAGAACTATTAGAGCATGAGGCCACAGCTACGGCATGCCTCCCATGGAGCTGCATTAGCCGTGCATCGCTAGCAGAAGTGACTCTGTATGTGGGCCAGGACACAGAGCTGATACAACCCAGAACCCGCGCAAGGAGCTGACACTGTCGCTGTCGCTCTTCTACCATCGGTACTCAGCTCTGAGCTGTGTGTTGGGATGCCACTGACTCGATGAGACTTCTTCTAAAACAGCAAGTTTGGAAAAGACTCTGCCTCATCTTCCATCCTTGGCTATGTACAAGTGCCCTTAGTTCCCAAGAGGTTATTACAAATGCAGTTTCTATGCTTTCCACTTTGGATCTGAAACTAGAACTCAGGCGCTTCCTCTGTCCCTTTGGGTACATACATTGAATCACATGATAAACAGATAACCATAATTATTAACCCTAACTTGATGCAGCCTTTACTGAACTGAAGATATCAGCAGGCAAAATCTCTCCATAAGTCAAAGGACTGCTGTGATATAAGAGGCTGTACATTTTTATAGGGCACACTTAGAGAGCGGTATTTCTTTCTTTTTCCAAGTGCCTGGTAGTCTCTCAGAGACCTGCCTTTGAAACACGGCCAGGACTCCAGGTGGACCATGTCAGGTCCAGAACTGCCAACTTAACAGCAACAAGGAAAGACTCTTCAGATCAGGGAAGGGTTCAGCTCTCACTTCAAACAAGTACCAAAAGTATCCGTAGCATTTTTGTTGTTAGAAACAACACATCATAATTAAATTTAAAAGTCAAAATGCTATCACTGTGTTCCTCCCCCATCTTCATCCTCATTTTTATTGTATGCCTCGGCACAAACCTTGGGGTGTCTGCTTTCTGTATTTTCCTTAAATTATTCTCCCTTTTCTTCAAGATTATCTGATCTCATAGGGAACTCCCTCTCTCCTCTTTTTTACTTTCTGCATTTTTTCTCACCCCCCATCCCCATTTCTTCTCTATGCCAGTCTTTTTTTCAACCGTCATTTCTGTTCTGCTGCTGCTATCTACACTTTATCCCTCCATCACCTCTGAATGCAGATCCCAGCTGGAATCACGTTCATTGCAAACGCAGGGGGAGCGCTTGCAGTGGGACCTCTGAAGACAGCAGGGAAGCTGGCCCCAGCAGGTCGCGGGTGACAGGCAGCAATTGCCTCCCTCTGCCCAGTGTCGGGGCACTCAGCTCTGGCACGTTTGGGGCGAGCTTTGTCAGGGCGCTGCTCCATTCCCATGGAGCAACAACGTTATTATGAAGGTGGAAAACATGACTGATGAAGGCCAGTTTACAGGATGAATAGCACAGCTAACCAACAAGAGGTGAAGAGTACTCAAACCAGGGAGCTGGTGCCAAGGAGGGGATTATTCCGGATGAAGTTAAACAATAGTGACAGGAGCAATGGGATGTGAAGATGGGGAAGATACAGACTAAATACTGGCTGGGGAAAAACGTTTTCTGGCAGTGAGAAATGGCGGAAATCTTTATGCTTGGGACTTGCTTTAGTAAGAGATGTTGAGCAGTGCTCCTCTACCCAGGGCCTGTGCACCACTGGTGGCTTGCAGACAGGCTGCCAAACAGTTACAGGATACCCACAGCCCTGAAAGGAAGCAAGCATGAGAAACCCAACACTAAACACACACTCCCACACAGCAGGTAGGCAAAACAGATATAGGAAAAATAAGAGTAATACATGGCTGTTCCCAGTTGAACCAAATCTTATGTGATAGTAAATGGAAACTCCTGTGACAGGGCTGTACAAGACAGTCCCTGGATGGTTTTCAGCGAGGGCAGGTGGTTCTTGCACTGTAAGAGGTGCTGACACAGAGGGCAGCTGTGGATCACTGTGGGGGAAAAAAATAAACCATAAGAAGAGATGACCCATAAAATAGTTTCCTATTCAGATTTCTTTGGTCCTTAGGATTTTAGAGAAATATGACAACAAATAATAAATTGCAGACCCAGTGCTCTGCATTCATAGATCAACTGCATTTCT